AAAAGAAGGAAGAGGATATTTATTTCAAAGGCTTGTGTTTTAAAATTGTTTTATTTTGACAAAAATGGTTTTTGTAAGCACGACTAGCCAATGTTGGTTAGAGTGTTTAGGCTAGTTTAGACAAACGTTTTGTTTATGGAGTGGCGTCTTGTTCTATGGCGCTTGCTATGACTGATTGACTTACCTAGTCCGCCCTTTGGGTTTTCAGTCTAGGATGTTGTGTTTTGTTTTGTCCTAACTTTTGTCTAGGTTTCTTTTTTTCTTGCTTTGGGAAGCCTAGCGGACTTTATTTTGTAACCCTAATTTTTGCCTAGGCTACCCTTTATGGTTTTCGGGTTTCCTAGCGGGTTTACCCTAACTTTTGCGTAACCCCCCTTTGGTGGGTTTCCTACCGGGTATCTTGCCATCTCTTTTTGGCCTTTAGCTTTTATGGGCTTCTTTTGATTTTTGTTTTCTTTTTGCACAACATTGGCGAAACACGGCTTTATTTATGACGAGGTAAAACTTTATTTTGTGTTTCTAGTCAATCAGTGGTGATGAGTGGTCTGATTATTTTGACGATGGCGCATTTTGACGCATTTTTGAAACGTTTGTTTAAACATGGTTATTAATGAGGTTTAGATATGAATAGTAGGAAGAGAAGCAGATAATAAGAATGTCATTCTTTGTAATTAATAGGGAAATATGTGCCCTACAATGCTCGGGGGTCGGGCTAGCCCCGAGGAGTAATCTCTAATAGTCATTGGATTTACAAACCCTAAGAATCAGAAGGAGAACACCTAATGACTAAATTCGCTTTTGACGCTTGAACCCCTCGATTTGGGAAAATCTGATTCAAGGTGTAGAGGGGAGACTTCCCTTTTCTCCGTGCAGCTTGATCCTTTGTAGGGTAATGCTTTAAAGGATTGTCTTTAAAATCTGGTGGCTCCCTTATTCCTTGAAAGGTCCTAATGAGCCCTTGGTTTGGGCGACATCCATATTTCCTTATCATGTGGGTCACCTTCATATCGTTGGGGAAGTCTTTTCATATTGGCAAAAGATATTTCAAAGGTCCTTTTCAGTCGCATCCATTCAAGGTAGGGCAAACGACTTGCTGATCTGAATATCATTTTTAGCTCGAACCGTGACCAGCTTGTCGCCTACCGTGAGTTTGTCTTTTTTTGGTGGAGCGTTGAAAGAACTGCCTTAGCGTCATGAGTCCAAAGTCTTCTCAGTTTTGGATTATGTTTTTCTTCGGTCTTATTTTTTCTTTATTCTTAGGAGCATCATCTTATACGTCCTTGGCGAAATAGATTCTTCCACTTTTAATCTTGCCCTCGAATGTCGGCTAATGCTGGAGACATCCTCATTGAAGGGCGATGTTTTTGTGTATCTCCATGGTGCAGCCTTATTTCATGTATGGGGTGAACAAATGTAACGACATCCTTGCCCCTTCTTCCTTATTAACTCGGATACCCAACGGTTGAGGCTTATTATCCTCCTTATGTGGATCAACCGTTGGAGAGAACTTGACGACGAAAGGTTTGCTCTTCATCTTACTTCGATTCGTGGAAATCACATCGACTAATCATTTCTTTTTATTATCTTATTATTGTTAAAGTGAGAATGAATGCAATTTATGAAGGCAATAGACGATTGAAGAGATGATGAAAGCAAACAATTTTATTTATTTCATCTAGACAGTGTACATTCCTCAATGCAATGTTTCGAAGTACATTTTTTAAAAGCGAAAAGCCTAAAGGAACGAATAGGTTGGTTAAAATTTTTATGTATTTCCTTTTTTGACTTCCCGTGTATGGCATGCGAATGCCCTATCCTCTTCACATGGTATTGAGGAATGTCCACTTTCTTCAACCGCCTACTACTAGATGATGTTATGAGGATGAAGTTTGGTGGATGCATGTATGCAAGTGTTTGTTTTTTCCTAAACATTATCATGTTTTATTTTCTAACATGATGTATGATAGTGTTTGGGATTTTGTATTATTTTTGTATGCGGATGAGGGCATGAAGAATACTAGCCTCTTTCTAGAATGCAAAAAGATTTTTATTGTTTAAAACAAATGATTTATGAGATGGATATTCCTTAAGACAATGGCTTAGGTATCCTCCTTAAAATCTATGCTTTGCGGGGTATCATACCCTCCTCGGTGTAATGGTTCCTTCCCAATCACAGACTTGACAAGTATAATGGGAAAGGTCACAAATGTGCTCGGGGCCTCTTTCGCCATTGTCTTAAGGATATCTAGTGCTCCCTAAAATGAATGTATTTATGCATGCACTAGTACAAAAGGGCGGTAGATATTCAAAGTGGCATAAATTTTGACTGAGATGTCCGATTTGGACGCACAACATATCAAAATGACTGAGATGTCCGAAGGGGATTTGGCCCAGTAATTTTCTCAAAAAACGCTTCTAAGACCCATTTTTTAGGGATTTATTAAAATGATGCATATGCATACTTTCCTTATGCATTTATTTTCTCTCTTGGTTTTTCCACTTATGATGCGATATGAATGATACGACTTTGTCAAAATGATTTTATTCATTATTATTTTATTTGGTTTATTCATAACCTTTTATCTCTTCTGTCGGACTGCGTGGCTACTTAGCTTACAAAGAACCTGAAGCCAGGCTAGCTAAAAGGCAGACTGTCCGAGATAAGGGTGTTTATTATAAAAGATATTTTTCTTTTGTGGTTTTTTTTGTTTTTATCTATTGTTTGGTTATGCTATGCAATCAAATGCAACAAACAAATGCACATACAATTAACTCATCCACGAACAGGTGAGAAGTCATTTTAATCACGAGGTAGGGTTTTCCTGCAGAAAAGTGCATTGGCAAAGGTAGGTTCTAACTGTTCTCACCAAGGCTTAGGCTCCCAAGGTGCCCCCATTATAGGGTCCCCACTCTCCAGCCTTCCGACCATGCTTAGCACTAAGGCCATAGTCAGTCTTTGTGCCAAAAGAGGAAGGTTATCACCTTGAGTGGTGGTTTCCGATCACACTGGTGGGCACAAGGCCATCACTACAGCGAACCGTACCTGCCACCCACTCCCTATGGATTTCTCACTTGCCCCCGGGTATAGAGGGAACTGTAGTGTGCAAGGGTTTGTGTACAGTTTGTATTTCAAACAATTGCGTAAGTATAAACAAGCAACAGTTATTAAAGCCAAACATTAAAGCATGTTATAATACAAGGTAGGGTAAAAGCGTAATTTTCTTGGTTTATTTACTTTAAGCTAGCCCATCACTGGATCAACTCACTAGGCTTCCCCAGTGGAGTCGCCATCTGTCGTCGCCGTCAGAACGAGGCGGTCGGAGCGACGCGATGGTTTCGACTTTCCTATTTTTCGCGTTTTTATTGGTGTAGTTACAACGCCTTTAGGTTGTCCGATAATCGGGCTGAACCTAGGGGCGAGGTTTTCGAAAAGGCGTTCTTGGATTGTCCGATAACCGGGCTAACCCAAGAACTAATTTTAAAGGGTTCTTCTGGAGTCGTCACCGATGTTTTTACCGAAAACATCGAAAAAGGAGTAAAAGGCATTGGTTTTCGAAAAACCAACTTTGGTCATTAGAACCAGAGTTGGGTAAGGGAGTTAGTTACGTGTAAGGGAAGTGTTAGTTCCCTTACAACGCCCCTTTTGGGTTCCCTATGATAGGCCAACTATTTTAAATAATTAAACCAGTGAAAATACGTTTTTACCCTTTATTCGCGGAATTTTAAAATTATGACTACATGGCCCTAATATCTATTGCATAATTAAAAGTAAAGCGGTAAAGGAGAGAGAGAGAGTATAGAAACCTCTGAGGCAAGCTTTCTATTAACTTTTTGAAAATTAGGGTGCTTTTTGGCACCTTCACTCTTTATAGCACCGGAATCTCTCGAAAACGCTATAAAAAACTCTAGAAAACTCTCAGAAACTCCGGAAATGCTTCGGAGGGGTTCTAGAAAGAGAATTTATGGAAGTGACTAGAGAGAGAATGGAAGAACTATGTGAAATGAGGGGAATGGCGCAGCTATTTATAGGGATTCGCGCCTGTCATCTGACAAGGTCGAGACGGCCGTCTCGTCATTCGAGACGGTCGTCTCGCCTCACAAGAATGGCGAGACGGTCGTCTCGCCAAACGAGACGGCGGTCTCGCCATTCGTGAGTGACGAGACGGCGGTCTCGCCATTCGTGAGTGACGAGACGGCCGTCTCGCCAAACGAGATGGCGGTCTCGCCATTTTCGCAAGGCAAGACGGCGGTCCTGAATATGAGATGGTGGTCTCGACCCTAAAAGGCGAAAATCATTATTTACATATAGAAAATCTCTCCTATTCTAATATGGGGCCTAATAGTCTCTCCTAATGGCTTCTTAGGCTTCATCCATCTTCAAAAAGGAGGTCTTTTGGTCTTTATTATGAGGCCGAACAAGATTTGGGGTCTACAATGATTATCATTGATTTCAATGGAATTGTCTTGCAATCAATTACAATCTATTTGAGATTTGTATTCACTCAATTCCTAAATGAATCAATCACTTCAACTTAGAAGTTAAATTGTGATGTAAATGAGACATTCAATCTAATAATCTCAATTATTGATTATAATGTATAATAATCGCTCAGAATCATTAAAAATCAAATCTAAACCATAGAAATCAAGTTTTAATTGATGAATCAACAACACAAGTGAATTAGAACATAATTAACAATTGCGAAACCAAAAATAATATGAAAACAGTAAATAAATTTAATGGAAGAAGATGAAATAGAAAGCAAAACGAAAAAGTAACAAGAGAAAGAAACAAATATGATCAATAACATGTTCATCCCCACCCTAACATACATTATATTAAAATATTTTTCAATAATTTTGTTTTAAAATTGATACGATTATAAAAAATTATATATATAATGAATTGTTAAAAAAATTTATTTTTATAACAATCTTAAACAAATTCTAATATGTTTTTTAAAATACCCTAACAATTAGCAAAATATTAATAAAATTAAGTGGATGTGTCGGAGTGGTTATCGGGCATGACTAGAAATTATGTGGGTTCGCTCGCTGCGAGTTTGAATCCTGTCATTCACGTGAAATAAATATTATATACTTTTTATGCATTTTTTAGTTGTTTAACAAATATTTCTTTAGCTATTTTATTTACAGATATCACTACAAGAAAAAACGCTTTTAGCGACCAAAAAAATCGGTCGCTAATGGCCAAAATTCGATCGCTATTCAGTTAGTGACTCGAAATTAGCGACCGAAATGGGTGGTCGCAAAAGGGCTGAGTCGCTAATTTGTTAGCTGACCGATTTACATTTGGTCGCTAAATAGCGACCGAATTGGTGGTCGCTAAAGTAGTCGCTAAAGAATTTGGTCACTTATTCATTGAAGACCAAAATAGCGACCGAAATTAATATAATAAATCGTCCGCTAAATCGGTCGCTAAATCTGTGTAAAGTTTTAAAAAATAGCGACCGATATATTCGGTCGCTAATATATTAATATAATTATTTAAATAATAATTAAAATCGGTCGCTAAAGTGGAGACAAAGTTAAAAATAATAGCGACTGATATAATCGGTCGCTAATTTATTAATCGAATTATTTAAATAATAATTTAAATCGGTCACTAAATCGGTCGCTAAATTTGAATTGTATATTATAATAAATTTGTAGCGACCAAAAATTCGATCGCTAAATAGGTCGCTAAATTAATAACAAAGTTAATTATTTTTATTTATTATATTTTTAATTATATCAAATTCATCGGACAACTTTTTTTCTCCAATTGAACACAATTGTATTACATAATGAATGCTTAGTAGTTAGTAGTTAAGATGCATTCTCATCCATGAAATGTGGACCAATTTGTCATAAACTTAAGATTTGAGAAACATTTGCAAATTGAAACTACCAACTCACAGTGACAGAAAAGATTTCTCATTGCCAAGTACTACTAAATGAAACTGTTACACTTAAACACTGCTATACACATAATTGCTTTTTTTTATATTGTAACTCTAGCACAACCTTAAGAGGGTGTCAATATTGTTTTCTGTGGACTTAAGACTATATTTCAATTTTAGAAAATGCATATATACCAAGAAAGGGTGAGACACAATAAAGATGACCAAAAAAAAAAAAATAGTATCATAGTAGTGATACATTTCCCTTCATAAAACTGAATTGTAACGTCGCTTCTTTTGTGGTGTTGTGGTGTTGAATGTGCCTGTGCTTTGATCCCATATGTCTTCAATTGAAAATTTTCAAAAGCCTCTGAAATTGTCTGCACCTATAGGATTGCACAAAGCAATATATTAGTGAATCCAACCTGAATGGGTAAAAGAAAGAAGTTTAAACATGCACAAGATAACTAACCAGTTCAGCCTTTTTGGAGTACACCTTAACTATCATATCTTGGTAAGATATATGTAGCAAGTGGCTTACACAGTCATCGGGTATTGTAAATTTCTCATTGCTTTCATAATCCTGAATGCATTATTGAAAATAGGTAACTCAATACAGCTAGCATAATTTAATTCCAAACTAAGCACCAATAATGGGCCAAACTAAAGCACTTTAAATATTTCAATAATTTTGAACAATTGCAGCCCAAGTATCCCAACGAAGTAATATAAAATAGTTTAAACTAAAACTTATTAGCAAGGAAACTGTCAAACTGCATAAGGTAAGATGTTTAATAGTGCAAAAAAAAGATATAATCCACTAATACAATATAGACACAGGCAAAACCAATTAATATATAAGAAGATTAAAGAAATATCTTGATGAAAGATACTTAGGTAGGTTTGGTGATGTACCTTGAAAAAGTGGATGCTACCACAGAAACATGCACCATAAGAGAGAAAAATAATGCATTAGGATAACATTATAGTAAGTTAAAACAAACTAAATGTCTATGTTCACCAAGCATGATTATTCTTCATTGAATACCTTTTAAGAGGATTATGATTTTCACTAGTCAAATCAATTTTGACGTTACAAACAACTACATCCTCCTCTTTCAGAGTAACTCCACCACTCTTCTGCCAGATACATATATAAAACAAAATGGAATTAGAAACTGTAAAAACCAAGAATGGTAAGTTCATGGGTATTAAGTGGACAGGTAAGGAAAAAAAAGGCAGGTATCTACATCTACCTAAAATTCAATAATCTTCTTAACAAAATGAACATACTTCATACCTTCACTTTTGGATGTGTATAAACTGTTCTATACAGATAAGCACGAGTGACAAATATTTTGTGGATGGTAAGGTCTAGTAAATTACGCAGCCAACATGAAAACTACATATTCAGGAAAAAAAACTAAACGGAAATAACAGTATAAGACCCAGAATCAAACAGGAACCCGATTCAACCAATAGAGGTAGTCAGTTTGACAATTCATACGAAAATAAACCAGACCCACACACAATTCATCCTTAACCAAGGAGAACAATCCACAGCTGTGCGACATGGTTAGCGCTGCGCGGCTGGTTCAATAGTGGAGGTTAGGTTGAGATTTAGGGATGGCCACGATGGTGGCCAGGGAGGCGGTGGTGATGACTGGGGTTTGGGGGTCCAAACAACAGGTGTTGGGGTGCAGTGCTCACGAGAAGCGCGGGGATTCGCGATGAAGCGGTGGCTCACAGGGGGTCCAAACCTTGGTTGGATTAGGTTAAGAACAGAGGTGTGGCGCGGTGGCAGAGGGTGCAGAGGAGGTTAAGAATAGAGGTGCGGCGCTGTGGTCGCGCGGTGGTTCACAGGGTGGCTCACAGGCGCGGTAGCTTTGGTGGAGGTTGGATTAGGGTGAGGGCTGACTTGGGGGAGCAGTGAGTGGGCTAGGGCTCGCCGGGAGTGACGAGGAGGAATGGGTGAGTGAGGCGCGAGAGTTAGGGTTATGGCGCGATGGTTGTATATGATAGCGGTTAAATCTTAACCGCTATTATAATAGCAATTCTAATAGCGGTTAAATCTTAACCGCTATTATATAGAACTTCTAATAGCGGTTAAATCTTAACCGCTATTATATATTTTCAAATATGATCGATCATTTGAAAATGTAATCGATCATAATCGAAAAATGTGGATGTCGATCGAGCGAGATTAGTGTCGCTCAAGCGAAAAACAACCCGAGAATGCCAATTTTGTGCAGGTGGATTCGCTCGAGCGAGTCCATTGTCGCTCAAGCGAAATACAACCCGAGACTTAACAATCTTAAAATATGGTTGTATATGATAGCGGTTCCCCCAGAACCGCTCTTAAAAACCACTTATAATAGCAGTTAAACCTTAACCGCTATCTAATATACACTTTAGATAGCGGTTATAGAGGAACCACTATTATATCCTCCAATTATGATCGATCATGTCAAATTATGATCGATCAGGATCGTATTTCGCTCGAGCGAGAGTAGTATCGCTCAAGCGAAATACAACCCGAGGCTTCACAATCTTAAAATATTTTTTTGAATATTATGTTTTTAAATTTGCTATTAGAGAAAACCTTTCAGAATTCAAAATGTTAAATACTTTTAAATATTAAAATTAACTTTATCAAAAGTTAGGAAAAAAAAATTTATCCAAAAGAGTTCAAAAATGTATAAGAGTATTCTCAATTTTGAGTTTAATTATATTGTTCATTCTCAAAGTAAAAAATTATATTGTAATTATTTTAATTTACATTTTGTGATCTTCTTAAAATTAGCATCAATAACATTAGACTTTACATTTGATTCATACCTAACTAATTATAGATTAAAAGGAAAGTGGTATAACCATGCATTTTACTTTTCTATTTACCTTATTCTTTTAATTATTTTATATAATAATAATCAAAATATTCACATTCATATGGGGAATTTTGAAAATAATATTATTGTATTATTGTTAAAATTAGCATCAATAACATTACACTTGATCTTCTTAATTATATTGTTCATTCTCAAAGTAGAAAATTATATTGTAATTATCTTCAATTTATTAAAAGTGTAATTAAATTTCTATTTTCTTAATTTTTTTTGTTTCAAACTTCTCAATTCTACATTTTTGTAACTTCTATCATTAAATTATCATCCTCATCTCCTCCCATGTTCTACTCTATCTTTACAATAGTTAATATTCTTAAATAATCTATATTTTACTTATAATTTTTGAATATATATTTTAGAAATTAATCAATTCTAATCTATTATTTGAAAAACTAATCAATTCTAATCAATAATTTACAAAACTAATCGATTATAATTAATTATTTGAAAAAATTAGCAAATATGATCGATCATCTTGAAAATCTGATCGATCAGAATCAAAAAACTTGTTGTATATGATAGCGGTTCCCCAGAACCGCTCTTAAAAACCACTTGTAATAGCGGTTATACCTTAACCGCTATCTAATATACACTTTAGATAGCGGTTATAGAGGAACCGTTATTATATCCTCTCAATTATGATCGATCATTTCAAATTATGATCGATCAGAATCGTATTTCGCTCGAGCGAGAGTAGTCTCGCTCAAGCGAAATACAACCCGAGACTTCACAATCTTAAAATATTTTTTTGAATATTGTGTTTTTAAATTTGCTATTAGAGAAAACCTTTCAGAATTCAAAATGTTAAATACTTTTAAATATTAAAATTAACTTTATCAAAAATTAGGAAAAAAAATTTATCCAAAAGAGTTCAAAAATGTATAAGAGTATTCTCAATTTTGAGTTTAATTATATTGTTCATTCTCAAAGTAGAAAATTATATTGTAATTATTTTAATTTAAATTTTGTGATCTTCTTAAAATTAGCATCAATAACATTAGACTTTACATTTGATTCATACCTAACTAATTATATATTAAAAGGAAAGTGGTATAACCATGCATTTTACTTTTCTATTTGTTGAACATTCAAGGACTTGATGTTGCACTTGATGAACATGAAGATTGTTGATTTTGATGATGATTCAAGAACTCAAAGACTTAGAGTGTTGAAGACTTGTTTTGTATTGTAATAACTCTGTTTCAATTAGATTGAGTTTGTAATATTAGAGTTTAAGATAGCCGGTACATAGTCTGCACCTTAGAAGCTTCAA